ACCATCCCTCTAAAATTTCGTGCGTAAAAAGACTAACTTTTTAACGTAGACGTTAAAAGAATCACGGGAGATGATTTCCTTGTTGAAAATGGGAATTTTTGAGGGATATTTACTACTAATAAAACCCATCTGGAGTCTTACTTCGTGCGTAAAGTCTGCATGATGCTATTTTAAAAGGCAACAATAAAGCTAACGGTACAATCAGCGTGAGGCAAAACAAGCAAGCGAAGGAATATATCTCTTTAAGAGAAGTGGCTCCTCTCGACCCCTCCCCTTATTCTGCCGGGTGCGCGCAAAACCTATAAGTAGTGCGCTCATGGAGAGGCTGCAGGACTCTGTGTTGTGTTGTACGCGCGTGTTCGTATCTGGCAGTTGCTTTTCATCTGCGCGTAAAGAGCTCCGGCAGACAGAGAGATAAGGAAAAGTAAATATCAGCACCTCTGAATTGAATGGACCTTTAATAAAGGCCTGGATTACATCTGGGAACATTTTTTGTGACACCTTATGAGCCGTGGGAAGCCTTCGACTCCTGTTGAATTTTAAATTTTGGGGATCTGTCCAGACTGGTCCAGATGTTAATCCACACCTATTCGGCTATGGTAAGTTAGACAGAGTCGTTCTGGGTTGGGTTTTTTTGAGTATTTTCAGGGCTGCTGGTGTCTGTTAGTCGTTACTGTAACACATATTTATAAGGATTTTGTTTTTTGCATAAGAAATGTCAGTAAACCTTATAGAAACCTGCGTAAAACAATTGCAGCTGGCGGTAAAACAAGTTAACAAAATTGGTATATTAAGATACAGAAAAAGACTTAAACAGTGCGTTGAATTCTTAACATCAGCTGTCAGCTTACAGAATAATAGTAATTTATGTTTATTGTTTTCTAAATCATATAAGATTTGTGGTTCAACCGTTGCTGTTAATTCGGTTTCCTGTAGAAGTGGTTCCAAAGAATCACAGATACTTCAAAAATTAGACTTTACTGACACTGCGCCGCGCATCTGTCCCAGAGATGCTCTTTGTCTGTCTGCACACGGTCACAGCAGCTGAGACAGTGACCATGAGGAGTCCACACGGTGGAAGGATGCTCATATTTTTCTGTGTTTTGCAGTTTTTTTATATAGAGAGAATTTGGGGAATAAAATTTGAAATGCACAAGTACGCACAATCAGTATGAGTAATTGTAGTACTGAATATCGACCTTGATCACAAATACGAAAGCCCATAATAATATTAATTTAAAGTTATTAGGTTGCATTTCTTTGAGAGATGATTTGAGTGGGTTTTAATGGCCTGGCAGCGGTCAGTCTCTCTGACATGTTTTATAGTTATGTACCAAAGCTGATCCCGGCTTACATTCTGTGCAGCCGGCCTCCGGGTTCTTCCAAGGATCTTAATAAAACGCATGGGGAACCATCCCTGAGCCACTGTGGTACCAGTCTCAGGAACAGTTTGCCTCAGGGAATGGTGGACTGCACCTCAGTGGAGATTTAAAAAAAATAAAGAAAAAAGAAAGAAGAAGAAGAAGAAACCTGAAGACATAATTATTTTCACTTTTACTTAAGGTGTCTTCTCATTTGTGGCCCATCAGTTACCTTATAATCTTACATTTCTTCTCTTTCTTTATTTTTTCTTTATTATTTATGACTCTCTTTTGTTGACATTTTCGATATTTACAGTGTATTTTTTAATAAAAAAAAAAAGAATTTTGCTGTTTGTTGTTATAAAACTTTTGCAAATATCTGTTTGTCTGTTAATTGTTTTGCCCATTCTTTCCTTGTTGCCGAAATGCACTTTTTCATTCATCTGTGGGCGAAAGGCGGTGCACGAATGAAGCTGTGCCGGGCTGACCGATATCTGCTTTTAAGGCGGCATTTTTGGCAGGGAGATAATGGACATTGTTTCCACCACAACAGCATCGATCAGGTTGACCCAGCTTTGAGAAAAAAATCAAATTTCACCGGGATGTGTGTGTGTGTGAGCCCAAATGTAGGCTAGTGGACTACATGTTTGCACACACACACACACACACACACACACACACAGCGTGAACATACTGGCATCTCTTTTAATAAGAGAGGTCAAACTTGTGAAGTCACGTTGAATTATCGTTTGGTTTCGCGCGCCTTGCCAGCCTGAATGAACCCCTCTTTTGCTTTAATTTTCACTCGTGGGGTCAGTTTGTGTTTGTTGACGCAGTCCCTGATTATTTACAGATGGAGCCTCCTCCCGGAGCGACGTGCTGCTATTGTTATTGTTGCTGTGCGTTACCTGTCCTTTGTGCAGTTCCTTGGTGGCAGTGACCTTTCTGACACTTTTCAGCAGCGACGCCAAGGGCGTCTTCTGCCACGGCGCATCACTTCAAGCGCAGCTGCTATTTCCATCCGTCCCTAATGAAATGGAAATATTTATTTATGGATTCACGACTTTTATTTTTGACACATTAAAACTTTTTTTCATATTTTAATTTTGCGTTTTTGTGACTTATTTGTTTCTTTTATTTTTCCTTTTTAAAATCTCGATTCTTTTATGGAAATAACGCTTTGGTTTAAAATATTTTTTTTGCTCTGAGCTCAATGTTTTTAACCCTGAAACTTTGAGCACGTTGAGCTCCTGATATGAAACAAACTTTCTGATTCTCTGCAGGACCGCGCAGACGGACTTAGCGGCTCTTCGCCGAGCGGGCGCCTTTCCCAGCTGTCCTCCCTGAACCAAGCCGCCTACTCCTCGGCTCCCCCGCTCTGCCACACTCCGGCCTCAGACTTCCAGCCTCCCTACTTTCCACCCCCCTATCCACAGTCTTCACTGCCATACTCTCAGAGCCAGGACTCTGCTTATTCCCACCTGTCAGACCCCTACCCCTCCATCAACTCCATCCATCAGCACCAGCAAGCAGCGTGGCACTCGCAGAGGTCGCGCTCCGAGGAAGGGGGGCTACTATCACAGTCTCACCGGGCTTTGAGCCTGGACCCCCGTCGGGAGTATCCAGCTGTCCCGCGGCTGCTGCACGGTCTCGGGGAAGGGGCTGCAGCTCTCGGAGACGGTCCTCTCGGGATGCACCTGGGACACCACGGCCTGGATGATCTTCAGGTGACTTTTTTTGTTTTTCCGCTTGTGTTGCGTTGGCACTGCTGCTCGAGAAGTCCGTGCGTAAAAGTCAATCGGCACAAGATAAAGACGCATGCATTTTTTCTTAAAACGCTCTTATTTGTTGTGCTTCAATAATTATCCTTTATGATAATGAAATATTATAAAAATTAGCGTATGTAAATAAATACTACTAAATTCTACTAAATTCTAGAAAACGCGCAGTGCGGCGAAAAGGCCTCAGGGCAATTTATCTTTAATTCCAAATAAGAGTTTATAAAGATGCAGGCCACACTAAAACATCTACATAAAAAGCGAAACGTGTAATTAACAACTCTGGTAATTAATTTTAAATTATTTTTTATGTTATTTATTTGTCTTTTTATTTTTTTTAAACACCTTCAGAGCTGCAGTTTTATATTTTTCCCTAAAAATTGATACTTTAATTTTAGCGTCGGACACCGAAACAGCAAAGGAAACAGCAGCACGCTGATTTCTCAAGACAAGAAAAAAAAATAGTCTTTAAATTTCTAAATCTCTACATCTTACAGTTGTCTGTTTTCCTGCTTTATCCGTTTGTGC